ACCCAGGAGGGTTAGCTCCTCAGGCTGCTTCTGATTGGCTGGTTCTGGTTGGCTGCTTCTGATTGGCTGGTTCTGGTTGGCTGCTTCTGATTGGCTGGTTCTGGTTGGCTGCTTCTGATTGGCTGGTTCTGATTGGCTGCTTCTGATTGGCTGATGAAACTCTTGTTCAGTTCTCTTGTTTGGAGAGAACCTGAATCCAGAGAAATAAAAGCTAAACTCAGATAAAAACTCTACTTTTCAGGTTGAGAAAATTTCCTGAATCACAAACAGCTGATTTGTTTCCAACATCCGGTTCTGATCAGCTGGTTTCGGTTAAAAACCCAGTTCTGCTTCCACAAACACTCAGACACCTGCCGAACCACTCACCTGGACACACGCGCACCACAGGTCCCACAGTCACGGCCGCGCGCCTGCACACGAATATAAGTAGCGTCGTGTCACGTGGCGCGGGCACAACCCACCAATCAGCTGATCGATGAACCACAGAACCACTTCCGGTCCGACGTTAAGCAGAAAGGTTCCGAGACAGAAAATAGTTCCTAAATATCATAAAGATGAACCTGTCTGAGAATAAAACTTTATGTTTAATAAAATGACTTTTATATAAATACAGTCGTCCTGTTTGTTTGTTTGTTTGTTTGTTTGTTTGTTTGTTTGTTTGTTTGTTTGTTTGTTTGTTTGTTTGTTTGTTTGTTTGTGTTAAAGGTCTCGCTCTGCTCAATCTGAACTTTTCTGTTTTTTATTTTATTTTAAAGCTTTAATAAAATATTTTCCCTCTGAAGGGCACTGAGGGGCCGGAGGACTGAGGACCCTGTTCAGACCAAGTCCAGRTGCAGGATCCGGACCCTGACCTGTCCCACTGCAGGTCCAGCTGGTCTGCAGCTCGTGGTCTCAGTGTGATGATGTTTCATAAAACCATGAAAGTGAAAATAAAACTGGTTTAAAATTTGTCAAGTCAGAGATGTCAGAATATTATTTGTGTTAAATAAGAGGAAGAATGTGTTATTTTTGTTTTTAATGTTTTATCATCACTACTTTTATAGTCTTCTGTTGTATTCATGATAAAATACATCAAAATAAAGTATTTCAAAGGTAACAGAACTTTGTAATACTTGGTTTATTTACAGAATGACTTTAAAACAGTTTTTGTTCCTCTGATGAGCAGAAACTGTGCAGTTTCTCATTTCMACATGCTTCTGGGGGCTTTTAATTTGAAAATCTTGGCGTTGAGAGCTGAAAGTCCAAACAGGAAGTGGATCGACCTGAAATGATTTATTTGTCAACATTTTAAGTGAATTCAAACCAGAAGCTTCAGTTTCAACCTGCTGATTATTAATAAATGATTAATTAATTATTATTATTAATAATCTTTATTTAATTTGAGTTTGTTTGAGGAGCTGAACMTAAAAGCTTCAGTTTGGGTCCAGATCCTGGTCTCTGGATGATCAGGTTCTGTTGTCAGGAATGTGTCTGAATAAAGTTTCTCTGTTTGAACACCATGTGGACCAGCAGCTCAGGTCCTGCAGGAGGTTCTGTGACCCGGGTCCACTCATTAGCTGCCTTCAAGCTGTCGGTTCTGAGAGAACCTGGAGGTGAGGACGTTCCCCGGATCAGACAGGATCCGGTTTCAGCCGACCGGCCTCCTTAATGACCCCTTTCTGTCCTCCCAGACTCCGGGTCCCTGCAGAACCTGAACCAGCCTCCAATCTGTTGGACATCTGCAGCCRGTCTCACCTGTCATTAGTCGTCCCGGCCCGGTCGGCCCGCCACGGACACGGCTCCGGCCCATCTTTCCCTCGGTCCTGGTGCGCTCTCAGGGGGGCTGGGGCAGGGCCCGGACCCCCCTGAGACCAAGTAAAACCGTCCGTCATTACCTGTGCTGGGCGGAGGAAGGTGGGTRGGGGCGGGGCTCTCCAGGGAGGTTCTGGTCTTCTTTTGTCTCAGGAGGAACTGAGGGCCGTTGGACCCGTTGGACTGGTCCCTGAGCTAAAGACTCCCCAGAAAACTGAAAAGTCCCGTTATGGACCAAGAAGACACGATGGAGTTCTGAAGGGTTCTGATGGGTTCTGTTTAGTTTTGATGGGTTCTGATAGGTTCTGTTTAGTTCTGATGGGTTCTGATGGGTTCTGTTTAGTTCTGATGGGTTCTGTCAGAATGTATCATGGAGATGACTCTCAGCTACTACCACACCAAGTTGGACCTGAAGATCTGCTGAGGCGGCCATCTTGAACCATCATGGAGTCAATGGTTCCTGTTGTAGAAATATTTATTAACCTGCAGAAACAGGTGAACAAAGAGAGTGCACTGTGCAGATGGTCGTGATGATTTAATWAAAGGTTCTGCAAAGGGCAAGACGAGCCGCGAGGTGATCAGGGAGGATCAAAGCCCTGAGGACCACCGCAGACCGACTAGCCGTGGCTACAGCAAACAGTTTTGTCAAACTGGGTGGAGCCTCAGAGACCAATCACAAAGTTACAGGTTTACAGCAGGATCAAAGTGAGAACAGACATCAATCAAAGCACAGATTATAATAAATGTAGCCGTTATCAGAGATACAAGGCAGTGTGAACAGGA